ACACAGCAGGCCAGGCAGCATCAGAGGAACAGGAAGGTTGACGTTTCAGAAGGGTCTTTTTTCTGAAGAAGGGTCCCGACCTGAAACATCAGCTTTCCTGCTCCTCTGATGCTGCCTGGCCTGCTGTGTTCCTCCAGCTCCACACTGTGTTATCTCTGACTCCAGCATCGGCAGTTCTATCTCTAGGTGGGAGAGATGATGGACAGGTTGTGTCAGGTCAAGGAGGCAGGGATGAGAGGGAGGGTTGGTCATTTACTATTTTTAGTTTAAAAGAGTATAGAGTTTTACTATGTATCTAAACCTGTACCTCTACTAGGAGTGTTTGATGGGGAAAGTATAATGAGAGTTTTACATTCAATTTAAACCAGTAGGGAGAGATTTACTTTCAATTTAAAAGAGTAGAAGAAGCTTTACTGTGTATCGAACCCTGTGCTGTACCTGGAGTGTTTGATGGGGACAGTGTCAAGGAAGCTTTACTTTCCATATACTTTTAATTTAAAAGAAAAGTAACAGGCCCCACACAGCATGCGCATCAACCAAATAGCCATGTCTCAAAGGCTTCAGGTTACGGGAGACTACCTTCAAGCAGTGAGTCTTGGCACAGAACACCAGCCCAGCAGCTTGGACATGGTAAGACAACTACTCAGAGTGGTCAGAGTCTGGGAATCTGTGTCAATACAATCCAGAGAATGGCCTGGGTCAGTCCTGTTGGTCCAATGTGACCAGTCTGGACAGTTGTGGTAAGTCAGTCAGGGAGCCACGTAGAGATCAATATCTCATCAGATGGATCTGTACTACCAAGTCAGTTAAGGAGGTGAGCCACAGGCAATCCTGGGGATCACTAAAATCAAGGTGTAGTTATCCAGGTCTATGGCTGTTGTAGGGAAGCTGGAGGAGTCAGTTGTGGGGATTAGGGGCAGCATGCTAGCATGCAGAGGAGCCAACATTGTGAAAGGGGACAACTGAACATATAAGGGAGAGAGAGTAGAGGGAATGGGGTAATGCAGGAGGGCATCACAACAGTGAGCACCACCCTTGTTTTGAAGGGGTACAGTGCATCACTCATTGCTGCTGAGGGCTGGGAGGCCAAGTCATTGACAGAGACAAATTGGGTTCTTGAGTAGCAAGGGAATTAAGGGTTACACGGAGAAGGCAGGAGAATGAGGTTGAGAAACCTATCAGCCATCATCTAATGGACAAGCAGACTTGATGGGCTGAAGGATCTAATTCGGTTCCTGTATCTTATTGCCTTATCGTCTATTATACAGATGAAAGACACCAGTGATCACAAAGTATTGTATATAATCCTCATGCATTGACCAAAACTCCTAGCCCCAAACACTGTTTACCACATCATGCAACATTACAAATAAATCCAACTGATGATTTGTGGCACAAGCAGTAGTTTGCAGCTTGGATAGATTCTCCCTAGTTGCCAAAGTAGCAATCACCTCTCAAGGTCTGATAACCTGCATATGGTGCAGGAACTATCTCACTTTGCCCAAGGATGGCCAGTCTCTATACTTTCAGTCTTTAGTTACAGCTAAAATGACATTTACTCATGCACCTGATGATGAAAAGTGAACTTATATTCACAATGTATTTACATTTACAATTTACAATGAGATGACACCCATGCTATCTATGTTCCCTCAGGTCATCACTTCCTTTGCCTCCCACTATATTTTGTGCAGTGCCTGATTCCACAGCTAGTGTGGAGAGAGGCTGCCCTCCAGTGGAGCCTGTTAGTCTTGGAATTTTTGGTGATGTGACTCGAAAGTGTTTGTGGCTAAAGGGCCCAGACGTTTTGGCTGTGTCCTGCCCGGATTCATGTTCACTCTCCTTGGGTTGAACTACCACAGTGTTGAAGATGTCAGGCAGAGTGGAGGTGGAAAGCCCAGCCACCCCTGGAGTGTTTTGAAGGAAGGCTACTGGGATGTCTGTATGTAGTTCCTTCTCCATCTGGGTGCTATCTGCCATCACCCTTTCTCCTTGTGAGGACCTGGAGTGAGGTCAAGGTCTCTCATCCACCTATTAGCTTGCAATAGAATGATGGATTGTAGGTCTCTCTGCATATCCAGTAGACAATGAGTGTGCTGAATCTCTGCAGCAGCCACCAATCTGGCTACGGAGGTGGCCAGATGCATCGACGCCAGAGGCAGAACAGTGGAAACAATGTTGATTGGGTCCTCCAACTTCGAGGTACTTTGCTCAGTGACTCCATTAAACCTGCCTGCTTCTCCTGTGTCTGCGTATTCGGATGAATATGTTAATTGTTGATAGCATGAGGTCCTCTCCAATGAGGACTGAGCAGATGACTGGTCTCCAGCAACCCTCTGAGTGTCAGCAACTTGGGGCATTTCTTCCTTAGCAAGCTATGGAGACATGGCAATGATGCACTCTCCTGACTCTAACCTAGCTAAAATACTCACCAAAGTATCCGTATGTGAGCTGGTGCAGGGTGGCAGAGGCCACCTTGCTGAAGTAGCATCTAAGTGATTGTAGCTTCTTCTGTACAGGTGGAGGAGCAGATGTCTTGCACCATGTCCTCTTGATGACAGGGATGATGCAGATTCCACAGATGCCGAGGAGGCAAAAGACAGAGCATCAAAAGCAAAATAGGGTAGAAGTTCAGACATGTTAAGAGTATATTCATGGTGGGGGTGACAGGAGAGCAGCATAAATAATGGGCTATGGTTCTTACTTGTTTGCCAGGACATGGAGATTTTGGCTTATTACAGGAATGACCACAATTTTCTTCAGCTAAAGCAAGGATCTTCTCCTCAAAAGGGGTGAGGAGATAAATGCCAAGCACTCCATCTCCCATCTTGGCTCATTCAGCTCTGTTGTAGGCCATTTAGGGGTAGGCAATGGCCTAGTGGTATTATCACTAGACTATTAATCCAGAAACCCAGCTAATGTTCTGGGGACCTGGGTTTGAATCCCACCATGGCAGATGATGGAATTTGAATTCAATAATTAAAAAGAAGTCTGGAATTAAGAATCTACAGAACACCATGAAATTGTTGCCAATTGTCAGAAAAACTCATCTGGTTCACTGATGCCCTTCAGGGAAGGAAATCTGCCACCCTTACCTGGTCCGGCCTACATGTGACTCCAGACCCACGGCAATGCGGTTAACTCTCAATTGCCCTCTGAAGTGGCCTAACAAGCCACTCAGTTGCACCGATCACTACAAAGTCTCAAAGAAATGAAACCGGACGGATTACCTGGCATCGACCTAGGCATCGGAAAAGACAATGGCAGAAACAGCTCTGTCAACCCTGCAAAGTTCTCCTCAGTAACATCTGGGGGTCAGTGTCAAAACTGGAAGAGCTGTCTCACAGACTAGTTAAGCAACAGCCTGACATAGTCATACTCACAGAATTATACCTTACAGTGTTCCAGACACCACCATCACCATCCTTATTTGAAGGGATACTAACTCCTCTAACTATTCATTTTTAACTCCATATTCTATGCATAGAATCAT